GTTACTATAGTCTGAGGAGCAGACATTTAAAAATGAAAATTGAAAAGCATGGTTGATTTGCAGACAGAAATCTGCATACACAGTTCTAGAGGCTGGTTATCCAAGGTTTTAGGACCTAAATTCTAGGATCCGAAAGCATTCTCAAAAAACGTATATATGGGTTGATTCTTGCACCTGCTACCTTTCAGAAGGGCTCTCCGGGGATACTACCGTATCTGTCCTATACCCAGAGTAGCACTGAGTCTCCTCAAAATACTTCTTAAGCTAACTCTGAGAAGTTGCACATAGACGTGTCATAATTAATTACCTGAGAAAGTGAGAACATCACACTCACAGATATCCAACCAACCACTGCCAAAACCTATAGCAGATGCTGATGCTTGGACTGGAATAATTTTAAAAACCTCCCATGATACTCGATTAGAGCACTCTTCTTTAGCCCCATACAATATGCATGGTACATAGTAGGTGCTTCATAAGTAGCTGGTTTGTAATTACTTAACTACTTAAGAACAGGAATGGGGTGAAGCCAGTCTCATGAGATCCCTTTGGGAGTGAATGGGGTTTAGTTGCTGTCATCTAACATCAGAGAAAGTACTGAGTCTGGGGGCTACCTTCCATTTTCATCCACAAACCATCAGTCTGCAAGCTCCACTGACGCTAATTACCCAAAGGGTAATTTCTCCCAGCTATAAGTCACAGAAAGACAGACTGACATTAGGGCTTCTCTAGCAAAATTAACCCCAGGATCAAATGCAAAGGGAAATATGAAAAACTTGCTTCATTCAGCTCTTGTGGAGACTATTCACTAGTTAATATTTTATGTACAATCTACATATTCCACAAACTATTGAAGTGATCTGTGCAAATCAAAGCCATCTCTGTGGCTTGTGGGGAATGCCAGTCTGTGAACTGCAGGTGCCTCCCAGCAAAGGAGTAAGTGGTGCAACACAGAGAGGGACAAAGGAGCAGTAACTGCATCACCCTCAGTAACATTAGCTATAGTTCACTGAACTCAAATCATATGACGGATCCTCCCTACTAAGTTGTAGACTTACATAAATCTCCTGTCCAGTGGTCGGCAAACTCATTAGTCAACAGAGCCAAATATCAACAGTACAACAATTGAAATTTCTTTTGAGAGCCAAATTTTTTAAACTTAAAATATAGGTATGTACATTTTTATTAACTTAATTAGGGTACTCCTAAGGCTTAGGAAGAGCCACACTCAAGGGGCCAAAGAGCCACATGTGGCTCTCGGGCCGCAGTTTGCCGACCACAGTCCTATCCCATCCCCTATCAACTCAATGGAGGCAGACACAGTCTTCACTCTCCTGTTAAGGCAATTCACTTATACAGGTTAAGTCAGCTACCCAGGGTAGTATGAGGTAGAATGGTTGTGGGGGGTAATTTCTTCTTCCCCAGAAGCATTTTTTAGTACTGTAACAATCTTATAGACTGTGTAAACACTAGATTTCTAACTCATCACTCATTCTCATTCAGTGGATTCTGGTAATCCCTAGGGGGCTGGCTGTCTCAGTCCAGGATTTTTCGTTCATTTCTAGGATCCCTTCATGGTCCAAGTAGAGCCTCTGTAGCCCCAGACCCTGAAGGACTGGTCATGTTTTATGCCCCAAGATGTTTCTATTTAGGTATGTAGGAAAGAGGAGCAGAGCTCCTCCATAACCTATGTTCCTCACTTGCTGAGAAGGACTTCAGAAAGTGTCAGGATGCAGAGGGGGAACCAAATCAACAAATGGAAATGGATGGCTCCTTGGTGTGCCCTCCTGGATACCTATCTTGGTGTTGGATACTCCAAGGCTCACCAGTGGCTCCACAAAAACAGCCATGGAGGTTGTGTGGGACCGTTTTATATCTCTTGGAAAAAAACAATATGGAAACTGTACATGGATGTTGGATAAATGACACATTTTTGGTTGGAATTTTAATAACAAAGTATATGCATCTTGGATACTTGATGAAGAACAGAGTTTAGGTTGGCAGTCTTCAACTAGTGATAAGAGGAAAATAATTTTTTCTTAATAAATGCAGTTTGCTAGCCAACGTCTTAGGAAAGATGGGGTTCACTGGGTGTGAGGGAGAATCACAGACTGAGACCTTAACGTGGACATTTAGGAAATGATTGTCCATAAATGTGACCTCTGTCTCTTCTCATCCTAGCACGTGGGTGTTTAGAAGCTTCTCTAAATATCTAAGTCCTTCCTTGGTGCTCACACAACACCCTACCTTACTACTTACCACATTTACTGAAATTGTTCGCTTACATGGCACCCTTTGCCCCCACCGGAAGAAATTCCTCCAAGGGAGCCATTTGCCTCAGTGGCCTCAGTGCAAGGCAGTGCATGCAGTTGAGAAAGGAGTGTTGAGCTAAACTGGACATTAGCAAAGACATCAGTCAAATCTAGAATTCATCCTCCAAAGGAGGCAAACAGCTACAGGAGATCCACACTATCTCCTGGACCACCCGGATCCCGACAATGTCACTTCCTGAAACAGTAGTGGGTTTCCAACCTCTTTGCCACTCAACCCAAGATCAGGACCCTCTCTCCTCCAGCCAATCTCTGCTCTTCTCTCTAAGGTGAGCTGCCCTCTGACTCTTCTGTAGCTTAAGCCAAACAAGCCAGAGGAAAAGGGAAGCCACCATTTAAGATGCTGGGTTCATGCCTTTGCATTCAGAGCTGATTTGTCCAGCCAATTTGTAATCCAGCAAAACACCAGGCAACTGGCTGAATGTCCTGTCCACCTTTTACACCAGCACTTTGCTCTTATGGAAGTTGTAGGCATGGACACACACACACACCTAGCCCTTCTGCTCTTTCTATCCCTCCCATCTTAAGAATTTTACCTTACGACTAAACATGGGTTCAGAATTCCAGTCAACATTGTCAGCAAAGAGGCACAATCCACCATTATAAACAAAATAATTAGAGCTATCACTGGGATATTAAAATTAAATCATGTCCGAAGCAGTCACAAACACATTGCTTCACCATTTGGAGATGACTGTGTCTCTCCCTGGCGAACATGGCATTAATTAGCTATGCATGGTTATTCCCCACAAAGAGCAAGTTCATTATAAGTTAGCAAATTTCAATTTTACAGCAGGTGTGTTATTCTGAGACTTTTATAAATTGTTCATGTGAGGATAAGCCATATAATTTTACTTTATTTTTTCTGTTCAATATAGTAGTGAGATACTGAGGGTACATATACCGGAAAGCTACAATTACCAGCTACCAAGATAATGTTTTCTAGGCAAACTAATGGGGTATAAACATGCAATTTTGTATTTATGGCTTATGAATCTTGCTTTAGTAATCACATGAGCCTAGCGGGTAACTTGTTTTGGGGTTTTTTCTTCATAACTCATTATATGACCTTGGGAATAACAAGTTTTTACTTCTGCCTTTCTGGATCTACAAAATCGGCTTAATACTGTGGGGGCTGAAGATAATGATTATACTGTCAGTAATGCCTTATATCACATGGTCAAATACATGAGGCTTAGGACATGAAGATACATTATATTGGAGGGTGGGGAGAATTTAGGGCCAATTCATCCTTGGCTTATTATTCACCATATTTTCAGCACAATTTCTTTTTCTTTTTTTGGTGGCGTTTCATCTACTAAGAAACTTGGAATTGGCCTACCACTAATGACAACAACAGAAACAATGGACTTTGTCTTATTTCTCTGCCTTTACCCCCCTCTTCCTGACAATTTCATCTGCTTTCATTTCTCTATTGTCTTAGCCTTGTCTCACTGCATTTGTTTCCAAAACACTTCAAATGCTGTCCCTTGGAGTGGGTGAGAGATGAATAAATATTTCAGTCAGTATAATAGATGATCTGGGCTGATTCAAATTTTCTAAAAGATTTCTAAGCAACGGAGCTATAAAAAAATGTGTTCAACCCTTTTCACATAGTCCTGAATACAGCCATATTCTTTCTATAGACAAGAAAGCCAGGCACCGGCCGGGGAAGCCTCCTGCCAGGCTGCCCTGGGCATACCTGTTTTCCTTAGAGCAGCGTGATTGGTAGTTAGGACCCCATGACTCTGTGTGGGGAGAGGGACCGCTCCGTGCACTGTAGGATGTTTACTGCATCCCTGGCCTCTACCCACTGGGTGCCATTGCATCTCCCAGCTCCTGCTGTGACAACCAAAGAACGTCTCCAGATATTACAAATGTCCCCTGAGGATCACTGCCTCAGAGACATCCCTCTCTCCCCGGCTCTGAGTGTGCAGGAATGTTCCAGGAGGATCCCTTAACAGGAAGGTGAAAGGGAAGCATCTTAAGGTCGAAGCCTGCCACACCACAGTACTATTTTTTCCCTGAGCATTCACCACCATTCCTGGATAGTCTCTTGGTGACACCAAAGTCCATGACAGGAATACCCAACTGGCAATGGGGGTCACATGAACTTGCATTTCTTTGCAGAGGGGAAACAAAGACAAATGCCATTTTGGAAAATCCAGCTAAAACAAGTCTTAATTCCAATTTCATTGAACTTGTGAATGTTTGCATTGACTCCACACCTAATTTTCTCTTCCCAGCAAAGGCTCCTAAACCTTGAAGCTCAAGGTATCTTAGGGGAGGGGAGCAAGACCACGCCAGTGATTTTTATGTGTGAAAAGCCTCATGTCCCTCCGTGGACAGATTCAAGGGGCCAATGTGATCCAACCTCCTTAATAACCAGATGTTTGCAATCATCAGAAATGCATCTCTGGCTGTAACCATTTCTCTGTTCTCCAGCATTCAGTTTCAAAGAGAATTTACATAACAACATGTGACATGTAGGATGCTTAAAGGCACCAACCGTGACAGGACAAATTACACTCATTTTTCAATACTCTTTGCAAGGTGCTCCACTGCAGGCGCCGGGCCGCATGCTGGGCGTTCTGGTGGGGCGGTCAAGACCAGCATGCGCAAACAGGAGGGGCGGTGCAGGGAGGCCCGCCCGGGAGGCAGCCCACTTACCCTCCGTAGGCAGGGAT